ACGGTTTTAATATAATTAGTTTATTTACCTATTTCCCACTTAAAATTTCATGGTACTTGAAAGGGCTTGATATAAACACCTTTGAAGCTATTCCTCAACATGCTGTATTTGGAACAGACATATGGACAGTGACATTATATAAACATCAGATATTATTATCATTATTCAAAAGCAGGTACATAGCTCAGCTAAAACATACACAAAGAAATTTTATACAACTCCTTTAATTATCAGAGAGTAGGTTTGTACACATATACTGTGAATCCAAGTACCAGTTCTGCCAAACATACCGCACTTCATCAGCTGTGGTACAATCCAAAGTAAATGAAAGACACATTAATTATCAATGTCTATAGCAGTAAATGTGCAGATAAAATGAAAAAGTAACATGCTATTAATTTTTTTCCTAATTTTATCAACTACTTACACTCTTTGTATGAATTCTGGAAAAAGTAGTGTATGGTGCCAAAAACTTCGAAGATGCATTTTCCTTTGGACATAAAATATGAATGCTTTTCTAAAAAGAAAGGGAAAGATGAAATTGATCAGTAAAACCATTCCAATGGAATTGAAACCTCTCAGGAAAACAGAAAATTCTCATTATTAAAACAGTCTTCTCTAATTTTCTTCCTCAAGCCCACAAAACTATCACTCCCTATGGAATAGCAGTGCTTTTACTGGAAGAGGGCTGCAGTGTAATTTGGTGTCACTGAGATACCATTTCTTTTTATGCTGAAGTAGAGTAAAGTTACTTGCCCCACAGAATGACAAACCAAAAATAAGATATAACTAAAAAAATAAAATAAGAGCATTGATTTGTAGAAGAAAATCTAATACTGGTACTCTCAATCAGTAAAAGGGATGAGGAACAAGGATCAACACATGAGTCCATAAGAGGAAATAGCACCAGCCCCTCTGCCTAAGAACTAGACACTAGTCTAAAAGTAAATTTGCTGCCTTTTAGAACTTTCAGGAAAAAATGTATTGACATGACATCTACAGTTACCAGAGAAAACTTGGCCAAGTATGTTACGGTACACTCTCATAGTGCATAGGCCCTGGTCAGGTGTCCATTCCCACCTAGGACCTAAACTCAATGTACTTGTTCATGGGCTGGTCATCATCACACAGCTGTATCCTGTTTCCCCGTGTGTTTTGCTTATTCACTGAAATATTTCTTTCAGCTACTATAGCAAGGTAAGACTGGTGACACAGTTGGCTAAAGGTAGCCTCTGTAACCATTTAAAGTAAGTATAGTAGTGTTTCAAGTTAGCATGTGTAGAAAGGCATTAAAGGCTTGGTAATCCTGAAGGGCTCTTGCACCATGACAGTCCCTTACTCTAACTGGCCCAAAACCAACACCACTACCTATGTATATATCTCCTATATACATAAGAGCTACATTCATCAAATAGTCCTAATCTGTTATCTCATCTGCAATAGTACTTCAATGTTTCTGGAAATTCTACTGGACAATGAAAATGCCTTGAATAGTCAAGATTTTCTGATCCTTTTTATGAGGCTATCCCTTTTTTTTTTTTTTAAGATTTATTTATGCATACAGAGATGGGGTGCAGGCCAGAGGTGTGGGGGGTGAGAGGATTCACTAGAGACAGAATGGTGAGTAAAACAGGCAGACTGACTGAAATACACTGCAGAGGGAAGCAATGGGCAAGATAGGAGAGGTCTGCTGCACCATGCGGGTCAGCTCTGGTACCAGAGATCAAATTTGCACTGAAGCAGCTACTGCTAGTTTGCAGTGCTGCTCTTTAACCCACTGTGCCACCATGGAGGACCTATAAAGCTATTCTGTGGACAAAAAACACAGGTCATCAGAGTTCATTTAAAAAAAAGGTTTTCTTAAATATTATGGTGTTGTGAGCATCATTGTTAATAACAGTCTCATCACTAAAAAAAATCTATCTATATATTTTTAAAGATTTATTTATTTATTCGTACAGAACTAGGGTACAGGCCAGAGATGCGGAGGATGAGGGGATTCACCAGAGACAGAGCAGGGAGCAGAGCAGGCAGAGAGACGAAGTACACTGCTGAGGGGAGCAGCGGGCAGGTCAGGAGAGGTCTGCCTCCCCACGTGGATCTCCTCCGGGGCATGTGGAAGTGGCTTAAGCTTCTTTGTGCTGTGCTTTAACCCGCTGCACCACCAGGGAGGGCCCAAAATCTATATATTCTTACTAGAGGTCTTCTACTCCTTCAAAAAGATAATTAGAATAGCTGTACGAACAGTATTTTCTTAGCCAGAATACCCATGCCTTACTGCCTGCTGTCTTTCATTGAGTTTGCTTCTGACTACATGACAAAGTCCATATAGATACAAGAGACCTGACCTGGATTTGAAATTGCCTCCCATTACCCAAAACTAAAGCAGAAGTTAACTTCTGTCTAAACATTCATACCAGCAAGGATACAAGAAGCTCTGAGAGCTTAGTGTTCATTCTTCTGTAAGAATTGGGTTTACTCTCAGAAAACTTAATTTCTTTGGGACTAATTATGTGAAAGATTTCCAGATTCAGTGGTTTTCTCCTGTTTGTCAATCCTATTAAATCAATTTTAAATCCATAAACAAAGTATGGAGGAAGATAAATATTGAACTACCTCCCAAAGTCAGCAAAAGAGGATCCCACTATTAATAAAAACAGGTTAAAGAAAAGCTGCAAAACATATCAATATAGGTAACGTGGGGGGGGGAAGTATAGAATTCCACACTAAGATAAAATTCAAAGTGAAACTTATTTCATCCTCTAGGGATAATGACAAATCCTCTCTTTAACAGAACAAGGCAACAAATTGCAAAATGACTCACTGCAGTCAAATGAACACTCAACCATAAGCATTTATTGTTTGACCCAGGAGGTACACAACAGCAATTTGCAATGGTGATGGAAGATATAATGAAACTGAGGCTTAGGGAAATTTGTCAAAAAGCATTTCACATTCAGGATTCATTTATTTAAAAAGCCTCAACAAAATATACCTCAACATAATAAAGGTAATATATGGCAACATCATACTCAAAAGTGATCCCTCTAGGATCAGTAAGAAGATAAGGATGCCTATTCTTATCAATTTTATTCAACATAATATAGATGTCTCCTGGCCTAGGATTGAACTCAGGCTGCAGTAACTGGTGAAACTTTGACAGCAGTGCGATTTTTTTAACCCCTGTGGCACCAGGGAGGCCCCTGAACCACTATCTTATACCATACTCAAAAATCAAAGTCAAACTGGATTAAAGGCTTGCAGTTAAGACTTGAAACCATAAAACTCCTTGGAGAAAACATTGACTGTAAGTTCTTCAGATAAGTCTTGGCTATAACTTTTAAAATCTGACACCAAAAAGCAAACGCAAAAATAAGTTAAGGGATTATATCAAATTAAAAGGTTTCTGTACACAATGGAGGACTATATGGTGCCTTTGATGGTGGGAGAGATACAGTGACCACTTGAGGGGAGAAATGCTACCCTGTCTAAAAAATTTTAAAAGGATGTAAAATAATACTACTTCATTAAAAATATTTTTTAAAGTTTCTGCACAGAAACAAAGTGAAAAGGTAACCTAGTGAATGGGAAAAAAAATTGTAAATCATGTATCTGAAAAGGTTCTCAAATCCAAAATATACATTATACAACACAGTAACAAAAAATCCAATTTAAAAATGAACAGATCTGAATATAGACACTTTCCTAAAAAAATACAAATGGCCAAAGATATAAGAAAAAGATGTTCAACATCAATAACCAGGGAAGTGCAAATCAAAACCACAATGAGTTATCACCTCATATAACAACTAGAATGGCTATCATCTAAAAGACAAAAAAATAACAAATGTTGGCAAGCTCTGTTGGTGGGAATGTACACTGGTATAGATTAGCCATTACAGAAAACAGTATGGAGGTTCTTCAAAAAATTAAAAATAGAACTACCACATGATCCAACAATGTCACTTCTGGCTACTTATGCAAAGAAAACCAAATACCACTAACCTGAATGACATATGCATCACCAAACTCAATGCAGTATTATTTATAATAGCTAAAATATAGAAACAACCTATGTTGGGGCTTGATGGATAATGAAACTGTAGATATACATACATGGATTATTCAGTTATTAAAAGGAATAAAAAATGGCCATCTGTGACAACATGGATGTGTTACAGGGCAGGGAGAAAGGCACCACTGAACCCCCAAAAATGCCTGCTCTAAGTGGGTTCTGCCATCTGCCACATCAAGACAAAACATATAAGGCTTTAATCAAAAAGGACTTTAATACAATAAGTATACAATACAGAAGACAAAGAATTTAATTTCTAAATCAAACACCTGAAGTGGCCAAAAGTCAACCCAAAAGGGATTGGTCCAAAGCAAGGCCTGAAAGCCTGCCACAGCCTAAAGCAGCTTCTGGCCGGGACCCATAGAAAAGGGTCAGAAATGACCAGACAAGTCTGGGAGGAAAAGAGCAAAATCAAAATCAATATTAACACTGCCATAGTCAACCTCCCCATGGGTCTCTCACCCACATCGCTTTCAACCATTCCAGGGCCAACAAATAAACATGGTTTCTTTACATGCTTGCTGCACCACCCAGTTACAGATGGACTCCAGGGCATAAAGCTAAGTGAAATAAGTCAAACAGAGGAAGACAAAACACTGTATGATTTCTCTTATAGGTGGAATCTAACAAACAAAAGCTTACAGATATGCAGAACAGATTGGAGGTTGCCAGAGGTGAGGGTGGGTGGTAGAAGAAATGGGTGAAGGGAGTCAAAAGGCAAAGGAGCAACCAAAAAATAACCACAGTAGGAGATGGGAAGGAAAAAAAACATCACCCAGGCCTGCATGAGTACATATACCCATTCTACTTTTCTGTATTACTTATAATACAATACAAGAGATGAGGGGCATACACAGGCAAGCTCAACTATCAGCAATTCACTGAGCACTTATCAGATGAATCAATAGCTCCTGCCTTCAAGAGGTTCGTAAGACCTCCCAGATATGCAGAATGGGAAGCATGAATTTAAATGTGTTAAATTAACCTGATTAAGAAAAAAAGACATTCCCACATATGTCACATGAACAAACACACACACACCCCCTAGGCAGACAGGCACACTTCTTTTCAAGAGATGAAATCAGGGGCCTCCCTGGTGGCACAGAGGTTAAAGTCTCAGCACTATGAAGCTATCACCAGCCACTGCAGTTTGAGTTCAATCCCCAGCCAGGGAGCTGACCCACATGGTGCAGCAGATCTCTCCTGTCTTGCCCGCTGCTTACCTAAGCAGCATATTTCAGTAGATCTACCTATTCTGCTACCTACTCTGTCTCTGGTGAATCCTTTTACTCTCCTTACCCTGCTCCCCCAACTCTGGCCTAGATCCCAGTTCTGTATGCCAGATCCCAGTTCTATAAAGAAATAAACTTTTTTTTTAAAAAAGAAAAAGATGAAATTAGTAAGAACAGGGATGTAGGCAGAAAGAAAAGAGATATGAAAAGTTTGCCCCAAATCTGTGAAAAGGTTCTATTTTAAGATTTATTTACGTATGCATACAAGAACGGACGTACAGGCCAGAGGTGTGTGTATGGGGATGGGGGTGAGAGGATTCACCAGAGACAGAGTGGGGAGCAAAACAGGCAGATCCACTAAAATATGCTGCTGAAGGGAACAGCAGGTAAGATAGGAGAGGTCTGCTGTGCATGTGGGTTAGCTCCCTGGCCAGGGATCAAACTTGTCTGTAGTGGCTGTGAATAGCTTCAGTGAACAAAGACTTAGCACCTTGCACCACAGGGAGATCCAATGGTTCTATTCCTATTGGAAATGTTTACAAAAAAAAGTTATTAATGCTAGCACTACATCTTCTGACTTACAGGGAACCAGATAGACTGATTATAAAACAGGTGCAAGCAATGTGGGCAGAATATTACCAAGTTTCCTTAAAAATCCCAATATATTTGAGTGCCTGTACATATATATACATATATATAAAGTATATTATATATATATATATATTTATATATATATATATAGAGAGAGAGAGAGAAAGAAATCTGAGCTAAGAAAATATATCAAGGGATACAAGGGGGTTCTAAATTGAAAAAGCCTAAAAAATTTTATTCTTAATTATTCTCATTCTTATCAGTATACTTAAAATATTTTAAAATGATAAAAACAAAAAGCAAAATTAAAAAAAAAAAAAAAAGGCTGGTTAGTCACTCTAGAGTCATTAAAATGAGTAAGGAAACCAGATCATGGGTTCTGAAACACTAACGATGGCCATCTATTCATCTCAAACACAAATGAGAGAAACAACTAAGTCTAATGTAGGTGTTCACCAAGGCCTAGCCAGACCATAACAAAGCTCTGTTGTCCAATATGATAGGTGCTAGACACGTGACGCTACAGAAGTGTGACAAAGGCAAATAAGGAACTGAATGTGTGTTTTACTTAACTTAAAGTGTTTTTTAAAAAGTGACACGTGAGGGCCCTCCCTGGTGGCGCAGCGGATTAAAGCACAGCACTGAGAATCTAAAGCCGCTTCCGCATTAGTTCAATTCCCGCCTGCCCCGGAGGTTACCACATGGCGTGGCAGACCTCTCCTGGCCCGCCGGCTGCTCCCCTCAGCAGTGTACTTCGTCGATCTGCCTGTTCTGTTCCCCACTCTGTCTCTGGGGAAGCCTCTCACCGCCCCTGGGCCTCTGGCTTGTACCCCAGTTCTATATGCTCAAATAAATAAATCTTAAAAAAAAAAAAAAAGTGACACTTGATCAAAAAACTAAAATATAAACAATAAAAGCTGATATTTGATTTAGTTATGGAAAAATGTTTTAAGTATACTTGGAACTACATGGGGCTTGGATATGTGACTCTATTTTCTCTATTATAAATTTTATAGACCCTAAATAGTATCAAGTGTTTCCAATAAAAAATTAATGACTGAATTGAGATGTGTTATAGTGGTTCACAAGATCTCTAAAACTTTTAAGTTAGTCAGCATGTAACAGAAAATAGGTGCAAATTCAGTAAATGAGTATAAAATATCTCTAACATTTAATATTAATTATAGGTTGAAATACCATTTTGAACATATTAGATTAAATAAAATACCTAATTAAATCAGATTTATATGTTTCTCCTTACCTGTTTTAGGTAACTATCAGAAAATTTTAAATTATATATGTGCTTCATAGCTGCTGGACAGTAGTGGTATAAGGGGAAAAGTCTGCTTACATCTAAAAGTATAAGTAACTAAAAAAGAATAAGAAAAACCTTGACATCCAATGACAGTAAGAGCTATGACTATTACACAAATGAAAAGAAAATGACACTGACATACAGATAATACATACATATTTAAAGCAGGTATACAGATATACTGTCATAGTTTTGGAGAGGTGCCATAAAACCTACCTTGTTTATTTCATTCACAATGAATCCTTCTGAAGCTATAAGCTCTGGGATGCCATCTAGACCAATTCCTTGACAAGTTAGGCTGCCATACAAAGTTGGTTTCCCTATACAGCACAAAAGAAGTATGTCTCAAAAATAATACTAATTCAAGAATTTTCTCCTTGAAGATCCAATTGAGGCATCTGTAGAGATGGCAGAAAATTGACTCATGAAAGAGAAGCAAGTGATTATATTAAATGTGAGATGAAATGGAAAAAGCACTAGCCTAAGTGACTCTCATCTGGGGAGAAATCCATTCAAAAGCTAAGAGCCAAGAACAAACACTTAGGATTATAGTACAGTGTTTGATACTATAGCAAAAGCTATTAGAATGATCTTAACCTCAGTTTTAATGTCTGGGAGATGAAATTCTTCCAGGATGAAAAGAAGAATTTCAACATGTACATATGCATCTATCCACAGTACATACAAATAAACAGCCAAGATGTAAGATTACACAATCTGGAAATTTTGGTTAAATAGAACACTGCTTTTGTAGTATTATGGACTAAATAAGATACTAACTATATACATAGTCAAACAGAATGAAGTCTAAAATATTCTGTTCTTTGTACTTCTTATATACATTTCTGTAATAGCCCATACATACTACATTTCTGACCTCTCTTCTAGGCTGTGAAATACTTGAATTAATTAATAACTACTGCACCAAACTGAAATTCTAGGAATAAGAGGGAAGCTGAAGTCATATGGATTCTCTAGAAGGTGGGGATTCTCAGAGAAGGTGGGGTTAAGTAGGACATGAAAAGATAAGACCCAGCTAGGTATAACCTAAAGGAAATTAGGTTAGAATTGCAACTCTCCTCTCCACCTCCGTTGAATGCCTCTGGTTTATAGTTGTTTGTTGATTAAGGGACTATGGTGATGGCAAGTGGGAGAACTGGTAGTGGGAAATCCATGGGGATTACAACCGAGATGAAAAAATGTATAACATGAAGAACGATTTTTAAAAAGTGTGTGTGTATAAAATAAAATATTTTAAAAAGTTAAAAACAAAAACAAAAAAAGAATTGCAACTCAGGGCTCCCTGGGTGCAAGGGGTTAAGTCTTAGCACTACCAAGCTAACGCCAACTGTAGCTGCAGCGTGAGTTTGATGCCTGGCCAGGGAGCTAACCCACGTGGTTCAGCAGGGGAGAATGGCAAGTGACTACCAAGGGGTATTGTTGGGGCGATGAAAATGTTCTGGAATTAGATAGTGTTGACAGGTGCACAACTCTTTAAATAAAGTTAAAATCAACTGATGTGCATATATTTTAAAAGATGAAATGTTGGGGCCTTCCCTAGTGGCACAATGTGTTAAAGCACAGCACTGTAAGCCATAGCTGCTTCAGTGCAAGCTCTATCCTGGAGGTGATGCACATGGTGTGGCAGACCTCTCCTGTCTTGCCCATTGCTCCCCCTCAGGAGGGTACTTCTTTGATCTACCTGTTCTGCTCCCCACTCTGTCTCTGGTGAATCCTCTTACTGCCCCTGCAATTCTGGCCTGCACCCCAGTTCTATATGCATAAATAAAGCTTAAAAAAAAAAAAGATGAATGTTATGGCAAGTGAAATAAATCTCAGTGAAAGTTATTTAAAAAATTTTAAATTGTAATAGTTCCTACCCCATAGGGTTGTGAGAAACAGAAATAATGTATTTAAAATATTTAATAGAGATAACATTTTATTTCAAAACTTAAAAAAACAAAAAACAAAAAAACAACTCTTCCTTAAGAACTGACTCCAACACAGAAAACTGAAGTTAGACATTCTCAAATCTCCATGTCCAGAGCCACACATTTACCTACAGGTGCATTTTTCCTCACCATTTTTCATGTTAGTCTTTTAGACTTAATACAATCATCCTTTCTCTCTTCTCTAAGATTTTTTTCCATTAATTCTTCTCTCCTCTACCTACAATCTGTATTTTAATTGCCTCCAGTAAGTTCTTGTCTTTACAAATAAAATAAAACCTTGATAAAAGACCTTCTAGCTATCACTCTTTCTTCTTCTACATAGCACCAAGACTATAGCACCAAGACTCTTTCCCAAGTTTCCTTAAGACTGTTTAAAACTCATAAAAATAGAAACAATATTACTACATCAAAAGATATCAATAAACCAAATACATAAAATGAAAAATAGTAAAGCAAACTTTTCTTACAAATTTAGAAGAAAATTTGCTTAAAATAAAAGAATTGTACCTGATAAACTGCAAACAAATGGATGGGAATAACACAAAATGCCATTCAAAGGAAAAAATGATAGGACTTAGCTATTTGTATACAGCAGAGTGAAGTGACTAGGTTTTCAACACTGATACTCAGAATGATGGTAATTTTTAAAGTAAGAAAATCAAGACAGAGAATCTGGCAACAGAAATACTCAGTTTGGCTTTGGATTTGATAAAATCAAGATAACAGTGAGTGCTTTAAGCAGAAAAGTCTAGCAAACAAAACTGTTCAGTCTCTGAACATGAAGAAATCAGAGCTGAAGTTATACACCTAGGAATCATCATCAGAGAGACTAGAGCTGATGTTACAGAACTGCTTAGAATACAATGATATGTGGCTAAGGGACTGATTAAGATGTATCAGCAACATCTCCATGAATCTACGGTTTCCGACTGGAAAACTAACCTGAAAGTCTTCTCTTGGAATGGAGTTAGGTAACCTCAGCACCATACAGGTAGGAAAACATACGAAGACTTTGAGCATTGACCAGTAGTCTGAGCTAGAAAATGTAGGACTCACTCTCTCAGGAGTAGTAAATCCTCATTCTCTTGTGGGAAGACATATAGATTTACGGACATTACCTGGGGGATGACAGCTCAGCCACGCCTCCCCTTCATCCTTCCTATAAAGAGACAAAAACCTAATTAGGGTCATTCAATTATGAAAGGGGGGCCACTGGGGACAAGGGAGAAGCTCATATAATTTCCAGATTGGTCCTAGACATGATCCAGTGTAACATCTCATGCAGGTATAGATTATTTTAAGACAAACTTTATTGAAAAAATATTTGTGGATTAAGTGTTTAATGCATAGGTATTTGTTGGTTAAATGAATGTTCAAATATTTTGTCAACAGGGAACTTCACTTATTTATTGTTGTACAACTTTGAAAAAAATCAAGATTTTATATTTAGATAGTTATTGGAATTATTGTAAGCCAAGCCTGTACTAGGCACTTTGCATATAACATCATTAATTCTCACAATTTAACAAGATAGCTTTTATCATCCCTGTTAAAGGTAAATAAGTTCAGAGAAGTGACTTGGCCAGTCATCTACATGTGAAGCAGGTATTAAAACCTGTGACTGTTCTACCACCTCATGCTGACTTTTTACGTTTTAGAATTTGTCCCCAAATATCCAAACGGTATCTTTTCACCAACTTGTAAAGAGAGATAGAATAACCTATTATTTATTAGCTGCATGATCCTGGGCACATTATTTTCTGATTCTGATTCTGCATTATTTCATAGGCACGAGGTGGTCCTCGATAAATGTAAAGAGTTCTTATTATTTATCACACAGTCTGAGCTCTACTAAGAAATGTGTTTTATTTTAGCCTTCCTTAAATGCGGGAGGTTGTTTTATTCATCTTCACCATTATTTTAACTTAAAAAAACCTTATTAGTAATAGTTACCATTCATAGCACTGCTGTACGCAACTTGGTGTCCAGAGTAATAAAACAGCATTATTAATATATTAAATGAATGGTTTGCTGTGCATTTCCAATTAGGCTTGACTTCAGAGAACACATCTTAACGTATGTATCAAGACCCTGAATATGGTACCGTTTCTTGAACATAACTGTCCAATATGACAATAATATAGCAGTAAGGGTCAAGGACACAAGATTTCATTACACACTCAAAAGCAATGTGGTAATGATGAGTACTAGGACTTAGGCAAACAGCTAACAACCAAATAATATTTTCTAAATTACTGCTCAGTCAAACGTAGAACTTTCTTGCCTCCTAGTGTTCTTTTCTCCAACTTAATGATCCTAGTTCTGACCCTAAGATTCCACAATGGATAGGCGTTCCCTAGACCTCAGGATAGTTCCTTGGGGAAGAAAAACAATGTCCACGTGAGTTTGAGACTTCTTTTCCACACCCGTGTTCCCTCGACAATTGATGGCGTGACCCTTATGACTATCGGAGACTGGGCTGGGCTCTCCTTAGCGCAAAGGTAACATCCGCTACCCGCCTCCTCCGTCCCAGTCCTGGACCTGGTTTCACCTGAGAGCTTGTGCCCAGTCGCTCTGAATCCTCAATGGCGCCGCCATCTTGACCCCCACCTCCACAGGAAGTAGGAAGCTGCGTTGCGAGACGAGGGGCGGGATCTATACCGAGCGGCCACCAATGAAAATGCGCAGCGGGCGCACCTTTTACCGCTTCCGCTTCCGCGCCCCGCCGAAGAGGTTGTTTCCGGACTGGACGGACGGAGAATTTCAACTGCTTCAGAAACAGCGGGGACGCACTGGAGCTTTCTCCCAGGCCATTTTATTATACCTGTTCGGTGAGCTCCGCACGCCGCGTTCTTGCGCGGTGAGGTATAGCGAACACATGGCGATGGACTTAGCAGTCCACGTACCCATGATAGAAGAAGGATCTTGGTGACTAAGCCATCTGGTTTCCTCTGTTTTCCCAATCCCTTCCATGTTTTTCGAGTTCAGGCCAGTTTCCACTATTCACCTGTCGACTGATCCAGCTTACCCAGATTTCAGAGCAAGGGTCTCTACTCCAGAGGAGAAACTGAAGCCGGGATGTGGTGGAAAAAGAGTAGGGTGGCAGTTATTGAGCCCCGTTGTAGTCCATGCAAGTTTAATTCATTTTTACATCAATGCATACATTAATTTTGTAATTGATCCTAACAAAATTGGAGGAACAAACAAAAAAGATTGTATGGTTAACCTTAGTGCTAGTATTTGAAACTGTTTTTTGTTGGCATTCAAGACATTGTTCCCTAAGAGGTTGTCCCCTGTGCCTTTAAAGAGCTTACAGGGCAGGGCCCTCCCTGATGGCGCAGCACTGAGAATCTGAAGCCACTTCTGCATGAGTTGATTCCCGCCTGCCCCGGAGGTGACCACATGGCGTGGCAGACCTCTCCTGACCCGCCTGCTGCTCCTCTCAGCAGTGTACTTCGTCGATCTTCCTGTTCTGTTCTCCACTCTGTCTCTGGTGAAGCCTCTCACCGACCCTGAGCCTCTGGCCTGTACCCCGGTTCTGTATGCACAAATAAATAAATCTTTTAAAAAAAAAAGCTTACAGGGCATTTAGGAAGAGGAAACGTACAGTGATAGGAGATACCACTTAACTGTTTGGACATGGTAGGCTCTTTACAAACATTAGTTCATTTTGTCATATCCTGTGGAGTAAAGATCTTCATATTTCAAGAGGGATTATGAAGTGATTTGCCTAAAGTCACCCAGTGAGACAGAGACAAACCTATATTTTCAACCCATTTTCAAAACCCCTTTCCCTTCCTCCCCTATGTTATATTGCCCCCAAAGTAATTGTTTTAAAAGATTCAATTATGTGTATAAGTTCTGGGGTACAGGCCAGAGGTGGGGGTGGTGGTGAAAGGATTCACTGGAGACAGAATGGGGAGCAGAACAGGCAGATTTGCTGTTGAGGTCAGCAGTGGGTGAAACAGGAGATGTCTGCTGTGCCATGTGGGTCAGCTCCCTGGCCTGGAATCAAACTCAGTGCTGCAGTGGCTGCATATGGTTTCATAGTGCTGCACTTTTTAGCCCTTTGCACCACCAGGGAGGGCCCAGTAAGTGAAATTTGTGCTTTGAAGTGCTTAGATCCTTTGTGTGACTTTCCCTCTGCCCTCCAAACATGTCTTTACTAAGATCAGATACTTGTTCACCAATTTCATTCACTTGCTCTATAGACTACAGAACTTTTGGTTTTTCTTTTGTCAGATTCTGTCAGAATCCCCCACCCAACTTATCATTGACTTTCTTCCTCTTTATCTCTGACTAACTCGTACTTATCCTTCATGTTTTGGAATCATTTCCTCCAGGAAGCTTCCCCTGCCCTTATACCCTCTATTATGTTACCACTTTAGATAACCTCTGCAGATTATATAGTAAATTGTCGCTTTACTTGTCGAAATTATAAATGTAGTGAAGGTAGGGTCTGTATCTGTCTTGGTCACTCCTGTTTCCTCAACTTTAGCATAGTGCATGGTATATGGTAAGTATTTTCATTATCATTTGTAGAATGAATTAGAAACAGGGGAGGCATTAAGGAGTGCTAGCTCCTTATACCATATCATGGTAAGATTTGCACAAAGGCTGAGTTAATGTCTTAAATTTCTTAAATTCTTTCTCTATACTACCTTCTACTGGGTGATGTGAAACAAATGATCTTGGGAAGACAGTATAGTTAAATATGTTACATTAAATACTCTGACTTAGCACACAGATTCATCTTTTGCTCTAGCCCCATACTTTTTCTGCTACAGCCACAGCAAACTCTCTCTTTTCCTCTCTTGTGTCAAACCCTCTTGTCTAGTTATAGAATAAGACCAATAGGGAAAAAGAAGAGACATTCTCTTGAGTAAGTCAGAGATAGCTTCTCTAGAAAGGTGACATTTCATCTAATTCAAATTCCACTGCAGAATTGGCTTATTTAGTGCTGTGCTGAGCATTTCTGCATACTTTATGGTTCACTTCAAGCCATTTTACTCTCTGCCAGGCCTAATGTTGGGGCTTCAAGGTGAGTAAGCCCAGTATCTGTTCTCAAATAGCTTTCATTCTCCTAGTGTAGACAGACATAATAGGCAGTTACATTGTTATTTATAACACAGGAACCTCATGTTTCATTATGTCCCTGTTCTAACCTTTTCTTCACCATTGTACTAGATTTTCCCTAAGATGTCAACTCAAGGCCATAACTGGACCCGACAGGAAAAGAAGGAAGGCGAGGAAGAGGACCCCCTAGACCAGCTCATCTCCCGCTCTGGCTGTGCTGCTTCCCACTATGCAGTGCAGGAGTGCATGGCCCAGCACCAGGACTGGCGACAGTGCCAGCCACAGGTGCAAGCCTTCAAGGACTGCATGAGTGAGCAGCAAGCAAGGCGGCGGGAAGAGCTGCAGAGGAGGAAAGGGCAAACCAGTGCCCACCACTGAAACCCCAAACCACCTGTTGTCCCCAGAGAACTGTCTTACAAACAGCACCAGAGAGACCATAGGAAGAACAAATCCTACGCCATGGAACTATGGACCAGTGTGTAAAACTTAGGGATAATATTGGCAAGTCAAGCTGCCGTGGGTATAGACGAGACTACCAAAAGAACTGTAATGTTTTCTTAGTGAGATCTCACACATCTTCATCCATCTTGTTTCACAGTATTCAGTATGGAACAAAATTTGCCATGTAAAACAGTAGGGTTAGGGATGCCCTCCTACCATACATTTCAGGTCAGTGTGTCAAATACAGAACTCCTTACCTGGATGTTTAATTTTTTTAAAGATTTATTTTACTTATTTATGCATGCAAGAACTGGGGTGTAGGGCAGAGGTGTGTTTGGGAGTGGGTAGTAGGATTCACCACAGTGGGGAGCAGAACAGGAAATCTGTTGAAATACATTACCGAGGGGAGCATGCCATGTGGACTGGCACCCTGGCTGGGGATAGCCTAACAGTGCTGAGACTTTTAACCCCTGCACCACCATGGAGGCCCTTAAACTGTTAAAAAAAAAAAAAAAAAGCAATTTTTTTTTTAACATTTTCATCTACATCACTGATAACCAGAGAAATGAAGATTTTATGGTTTATTTATTTCTGCATAGAACTGGGTTGTAAGCCTGAGGTGTGGGGGATGAGGGGACTCACCAGAGACACAATAGGGAGCAGAATAGGTGGATTTATTGAAATACATTGCTTAGGGGAGCAGTGAGTGAGACAGGAGAGGTCTGCTGCACCATATGGGTTGTCTCCCTGGCTGGATGGAACTCAGGCTGTGGAAGTGATAGTGCTGAGACTTAACCTCCTACACCACCAGAGAGACCCCCAAGATCAAAGATTTAATAAATAAAGTATCTTGAGTTAATTGTATTGACAAAAATTAGAAGTACTTAATAGCTGGTATGGATGATAGAGAAAAATAGGGAAATTCACACTACTAAAGAGATCATAACAAGTTCTTGGAGGACAAGTTGGTGGCACCTAAATAGTTCAGTTCCTGTATTTCAGGATCCTCATATATATATATATATATATATATATTATATATATGTGTGTATATATATATATATATACACGTATATATATTTAAAGATTTATTTATGCATACAGAGCTGGGGTACAGGCCAGAGGTACAGGGCCAATAAGAGGCTTCACAGAGACAGTGGGGAGCAGAGCAGGCCAACTGATGAAGTACACTGCTGAGGGGAGCAGCAGGCAGGTCAGGAGAGGTCTGCCGCACCATGTGGGTCACCTCCAGGGTGGGGATTGAACTCATGCTAAAGTGGCTTTAGCCTCTTAGTGCTCTGCTTTAACCCACCGCAACACCAGAGAGGGCCCTTTTAAATATATTTTTATACAAGATTTATATATGTTAATTGGGTTTATTACAACATTGTTTTAATCTGGTTATATCTTTTTATCATAAGGACTGTATCTTTTCATACAAATCTTTGACAACAGGAATGAATCTATGTATTAAATTTTGTAAATAAAATGGCAACATTAATCATGAAGGTAGGCAGTTTAGCACTGCTGGAGAAAGAGCACTGAGCCTTAGCATTCTGTACAGCAGGAAAGTATAAGCTTTCAGCCTGGACTTGCTCCAGTTGGATTTCTAATGTCAGCAGCCCAAGGACTTAGTCTAGCCACTTTACCTGAGGTGAGTGGGAGGAATATCTTATTACTCATCTAGTAAAACACTTTACAGTGCACCTTTGTACTGAACATAGGCCAAATGCCCAGCCAAGGACCTTGCAGGGAAAAGCCAAATTTATGAGTCTTCTAGGCCTAGCCAAGAGGGGCATCCAGCTAAGCAGTCTCTCCATGCATCCCTGGCATCAAGCCTCTCTGCAGCATAAGTTATACTGGCCCACCTCAAATTCCAGTTCCGTGGTTATGGACTGCTGAGACAAGTCTTAAAAAAAGAGAGCACCAATCCTGGTCCTGTGGCTACTTGCAAGTTAATGTTTTTTTGTAAAAAGCTAAAATTTTTTTTATACAATAAATATACTATGTGTTAAGCACCATACTTGGCACTGGCTGCTGTGAGAGAATAAAGCAGAGCACAGCACAGCCTTGCAGACTAACCCTCTATCTGACCACATTTCCTCTGTAAAGGGGAGTCATGGAATGTTGTTAGGGGAATGAATGAAATAATGTAACTCAGGACAGTGACTAGCATACAGTGGTGGTGAGAATAGCTAATTTTACTGAATATTTACTATATGCCACTCTTTCAAAGCTCTTTACCAATATCATTTAACATTCTTTTAAGAACCCTAAAAGGACGGTCAACATTTACTAGGTCTGAGGCCTATGAAGAGGGTACTATAATTGCACTTTCACAGAAAAAAAAAAAACCAAACCATCCTGAGAAATGGATTTGCCCGAAGTCACACAGCTAAGTTAAGTGGCATAAGTGGGAATTTAAAGGCAACATGTCACAGGAACTGTGAATCCAGTTCTAAAATCAGACCACCTGGACTGAATGTGCTATATGTACCAATTACACTGCATTAAGCACTAATTTTTTAAACTAATTTTTATTAGTTACTAATTATATCTAATTCATAGTATGCCTATTAAGTAGATATTATTTGATTTACTTGACCAAATGCAAATACTGAGTGGCAATAGAACCCTCTTTGCACGAATACATTGTTAGCCCCTTGTTGGAGCTAGTGTCCCCCAAAACTTGTTTTCCTCTTTGGCAGGTCTGGAAGTCACTCTTCAAGCTAACTCTCCTCTTTGACTTAAAGCAGGCATGCTTCCCTTCTCTAGCAGCTATCTTCTGAAATTTTCATTCTCCAGAATCTGGGCATCTTTCAGAGCCTGGGCATTTTGTCTAGATGTTGAACTAAGTCCCTAAACCAGAAATGTCTAAGAATAAAAGTTGGTCCAGAAGGATTATAAAAACAAATGAGTCATTTCAGGTTCTCCAGGGAGATGAAACATTTCAAGACAAAACAACAGAGATCAAAATACAGATGAAACAAACAGAAGGCACATTGGCCACCTCTCTTAACCTTTCTAGCAGCTCTAGTTCTAGACATGCCCAATGCATGCTTGAGAGCTTTACCTCATTAAACACATTTACTCCCTAAAAACAGTGAGGACCGGGCCTCCCCCAGCATTAGCACTGGAATGGCCAAAATACTCAGATTTCATTTTTTTTTTCTTTGCAATGTGCCTTTTTAGAATCTACCAATAGTAATTTCCGAGCTCCCAGAGTAGAGGAAAGTGGCTAAAACCTGAAGCTGCCATATCTGTACTAGCCTTAAATAGGAAAATTACCCATTGACCCTTCAGTTGGTCCTGCTAAGTTAATGATTTACACAAAAATCCATTGCTAAAAACTCAGTAAATAAAGACTGAATCAGCAATTGAGTTACCTGAAGCCATCCTGAGTTATATCTGGTTCTGTCACTGGCTAAGTGGACAAACTTGGAAAACTCCCTCCTGGGCCAGATACTTCATCTTTAAAATGAAGATTAGGGCCCTTCCTGGTGGCGCAATGGATTAAAAACCAGCAGTATGAAGCTATCCCCAGCCAGGGAGGTGATCCACATGGGGTAGCAGATCTCTTCTGTCCCGTCTGCTGCACCCCTCAGCAGTATACTTAAGTAGATCTGCCTGTATCTGCTCCCCACTCTGTCTCTGATGAAACCTCTCATGCCCTGCACCTCTACCTGTACCCCAGTTCCTGTATGGATTTTTGTGTAAATAAATCTTCTAAAAAATAAAATGAAGATTAACCCAAAGGTGATATGTTGATTGTGCCAAAATTATTCTGATTCCCAATCAATTGATCTCCCTTTTCATTTCTCCTGCTATCACCTATGTTTCCACAACAGTATTCGGCATTGTTTAATGCTAACTGGGATATTCAAAACTAAGAATACCTAAAATGATTGAAATACTGATATAAACAACTTGGGTAAAACATCAGGGTAAATAAATGAATGCAGTCACAAAAGGGTACATGTCATACAAGATACAGTACTAAGTAGACAAAACTAATCTATGGCATTACAAATCAGATTAGTCATTGCTTCTGGGGAAGAATGACTAAAGAAGGTAAGTGGACTTTCTGGGATGATGAAAATGTTCTTGATACAAGTATAGGTTTCATAGGTGGCTTCATTTTCAAAACGGATCAGCTATACAATTAAGATTATTGTGCTTTATTACATACAATCTTTACCTCAATGTATTAAGAAGTTTTCAGAAAAAAATTATGAAGCTTAACAAGGTAATGTAACATTTGCTGAATAAACATTTGTCAGTCCGATCATATGCATTATTTCCATCTCAAACTCCTAAGAAAGGATTATCCCCATTTTGTAAATCAGAAAATTGTTTAATGAGGTTTAAATAACTCACCTGAAGTCACAGACTAATAAATACAGAAACTAGCACTACTCAGGTTTGTCTGCCTCCTTATGATAGGTTGTCTCAAGGAGAGGGAAAGGTATTTTCAATCTAGAGTCAGGAGACTTGTGTTCTGTTTGACTTCGCTGCCATGTGATCCTGGGAAAGTCCATTTCCTTCTGGGCCTCACTCCAACTCCTATGAAGCTCAAAATTGTTTTGAAACTTTAGTTCTAGCAACCAGATTTTTCTCCTGTCCCTCTTACCAAGATAAGCCATAAGGGTAGACCATGAGCAACAAAAGTCTTTTGACTTTGATGCAAGGATAAACCCTCAACTAGGTCAATGACACAAGAGGCACCAAGATGACAAACCCAGTAGTCTTCTGTTTAAGAGATAAGCCTGACTCATCCCTCAGTGATGTAATGGAAAGGGATGGAGGAGAGATTCGAGTCCTGCCCCCAGCTCTGCCAAGGAGCTGCCTTGTGACCTTGAGTAAACAATTGCCTCTCCTGAGCTGCTAGCCTAGCTTGCTGAAAGGGGATTAGGTTGGGGGGTCCTAAGGTCCTTCAGCTCTAATAGTTTGTCATTTATGAAATCCTGTGCTCTGTTTTCATGAATTGATGAGAAAGACAGTAAACATCTGGAGAAGTTGCCGTTTTCCAGATCTCTAAATGGAGAGACATTATTCACTGCCTATGTGATAGGGGGCAATGTGTATTTGTAAATTGTTTATTCACCATTTTTACTTTTTTTTTTTAAGGTTTATTTATTTATGCATAGAGGAACTGGGGTGAAGGCCAGAGGTGTAAGGAGGGGGCAGTGAAAGGATTCATCAGAGAACACAACAGGCAGATTTACTGAAATGTACTGCTAAGGGGAGCAGTGGGCAAGACAGAAGAGGTCTGCTGTGCTGTGGGTCAGCTCCCTGGCAAGGGATCAAATTCAGGCCTGGTGGTGAAAGGACTGAGTCTTAACTCTTAAGCCACCAAAGAGGATCCCTTTCAACTCTTTATGCTTATGTCACTACCACCCCATGTTGACTAATCCATTAGTTGCTGCTCGCTTATCTTCTCTCAACAAGACACAGCAGTGAGCAATTCTACCAAATCTATCTCCACTGGAAAATTCTTTTTTAAAAGATTTATTTATTTTTACATACAGAACTGGGATACAAGCCAGACGTGCAGGGGCAGTGAGAGGATTCACCAGGACAGAGTGGGGGCAGAACAGGCAGGTTGACAAAGTACACTGCTGAGGGGAGCAGAGGGCAAGACAGGAGAGATCTGCTGGCCATGTAGGTCACCTCCCTGGGTGGGGATCGAACTCATGCCAAAGAGGCTTTGGCTAGCTTCGAAGTGCTACACTTTAACCCACTGCACCACCAGGGAAGGCCCAGTCACAGTCATAACATAAGAGAAGGAGCATGGCTCTGTTCTAATAAGCCTTTATTTATAATCACAGGCATGTGATTGTAGAACCAAAAGGAGGTGGTAGTTGTGAGCTAGCTTGGGTAAAAGACATTGTGAGCCAGTAGGATGAATTGGCCCAGACTGTTTGAACAGGTGAACTAAATCATGGACTGGTAAGCCCTGTTCATTTTGGCTCACCAACTGACCATAAGGTACTAACCTGGACTAATGATTATCTACAACTTCTGTGGGAGAAGGTCAAGAGTGTAACTCCTGGCATAGCTCAACCTAGAATAAATGGCTCTCCTCCACCCTGCCTTGTGGATCTACCCTTTAAATATCTCCTAAATCCTTTTGCAAAACCAGGCTAATTCTGCCGTCCTGCACTGGTACCCTCACGCAGGAGTCTCTAAAGTCTTGCTAAATACAACTACATCTAGAGCTCTCAGGTGAGTAACAGTTGTAATAGTTGTACAGCATTATCAATGTATTAAATACCACTGAATTTTTTGCTTTAAAATGGTTAATTTTGTTGTATGGGAATCTCACCTCAATAAATTTCAGAATACAAAGGCATTTAGGATTTAGTTCACAGAGCTTCTCTTATAAGGTCTTAAGAGTTGACTTCTAAAGGTCTCTTGTTAGGTTAAAGAAGGTAACTTTTGGAAAACACCAAAAGGAGAGAGGAGCTAGATGCCTGGGAAACCAAGGAACAGACAAGGGACTTTCAATCCACTCTGATTTCCTGAGAGGAAAGAGGGGTTAGAAGTGGAGTTCAATTACCTATGACTAATGATTCCATCATTCGTGCCTATGTAGCGAAGCCTCCATAAAAGATCAGAAAAAAGTGGCTTCAAAGAACTATCAGGTTGCTGAACACACGAAGATGCCTTTTCCCCAGCATCTCTTGCCTTGCATCTCTTACATTTTAAATTTGTATTTTTCAGTTACTAACTTTTATAATAAATCAGGGATAAGTAAATGGGTTTCCTGAGTTCAGTGTGTCCATCTAGCAAATTCAGTGAATGTGAGGTGGATATCCTGGGACTCTGATGTATTTTCGTCATAAGCACAGGCAATAATCTGGGGCTTGGGACAGACACCTGAAGTCGGACACCTGGGCACCATGGTGACCTCTGGTCCATAGCTGGTTGGTGGGTTGGAAGCAGGAGTTGCACAGTCTTAGGAGACTGAGCCTTTAACCTGTGGAATCCAACACAAACTCCAGGTATACAGTCAGAATTTGAGTTGAATTTCTCACACCCCAAGCTGGAATCTGGGACTTGCTGGTTGGTGTGGTAAAACCTCAGCACCTAAGACCCCTCTAGAAATAGCTACAGGGCACCACCAACTACCCATGGCCAGACCCTTATTTTATCTAGAGTTTCTTCATAAATAAAGATTTCCACATACACTCCCAAGCCTTCAACCCATAAAATTTATTTATGTTATAACCCTTCACTAAATGACTATGTACCATATTGCTTTAAGGGATGACTTCATCATAATTGGAGAAATACTGAGGGGGAAAAGGTTTTTGTGTCAAAGCACCAAGTAAAGAGAAAACAATCTACTGGATAAAGATATTCCACAGGCGATTTCTCACAAACACACCCCATCATCAGCACATTTTTAATTAGATGGAGGATACGTAGGGCTGTTTCAAAAGAAAGTGTGACAATTGGCAGGTATTCCTTCACAAAAGAGAGGGGTCATTCTAGGATGTGGGGATGAGTATGAGTCTCCTGCTTAACTTTGACCAGCCAAGAAACTTCCCCTTGGCACTCAGTATCACCAGTGCTATTGTGAAAAGACTTGCAATGAGCTAGTTCAGCTTAGACAACAGTTCTTCCAATTCTGGCCGAGCTTTGAACCTTCCTTTGAAGTCTTCTTCAGTGTGCTAGGAAGAAGAAAAAGAAAGTAAGTGGGAACTACAGCACTTACATGCACAGCATCAATAGAGAATCTACCACCCAGTTCTTAGAGGATGACTTAGATTCAGGTAACTTTTATTGATTGTCTACTATGTACCAGATTTAATTAGGTACTGGGGATTCAAAGTTGAATTAAACTTCTTCACTGTCTTAAATGAACTTAAAGTCTGGTGAGAGAAGACAGATATATAAAGACTTAATGTCAAAATGCTACAACTATCACAATAGAATCACTTTAAAAAAGAGAGAGAGAACAAAAATTCTTCATTTACAATATAGGAAACAGGGACTGGAACATTTCATGCCAACATGACCAGCAAATTTTCTCCCTGTACACAGAACTACCTGAAACCCAAGTAACAAGAAGAGATTTTAACTAGCACAGACTCAGAACAAAGGGTGCTGGATGAAACAAATGGCATAGAGGACTTGATATAGCTATCATAATAAGGATCATCTTGGCAAATGGCCCCAGATATTCAGTATTTAGGCTAAAGTTCTTATATTGTCCATGCCAAACTTCCTTTTTTTTTTTTTTTTTTAAGATTTATTTATGGTTATGCATACACTAGCAGGGGTGGGGGGAGGCCAGAGGTGCAGGGGGTGAAAGGATTCACCAGTGACAGAGTGGGGAACAGAACAGGTAGATCTACTGAAATACACTGATAAGGGGAGCAACAAGCAAGAGGGGAGAGGCCTGCTGTGTTATTTGGGTCACCTCCCTGGCCAGGAATCAAACTCGTGCTGCTGCAGTGGCTGTGGATAGTGTCATAGTGTAAGACTTAACCCCCTGTGCCACCAGGGAGACCCTCCTAAACTTCCTCTGACAGGCATTCTTCACTGAAAATATTCAGTCAAGATAGTTAAGATTCGAATATCCAGGTATCTTCTCCCTAAATACATTGTTCTATTTGTGTTCTCATTAATTATACTATATGTGATCCTAAATCATGTTCTTTCTGCTACACACTGCCTGAAGGGCATTTGTGAATATAATAGGCTCAAGTCCAACATCAGGAAGCTATGATGAGGTCAGTTCCTATAGTCCATTAAGCATCATCCTTGATGCCTGGGAAGTGTCAGAATAATTACCATGGCAATACCAGTTTGCACATATTTCCTAATTATTATCTGGACTAAATTAATCCACATTTCTGTTTCTGAAGTCAGGTTGTTTACATACTCATTCATATTTTCAGCACAGGTGGACCACCAGGGGAGTCTCTTCTTAAACTAACACCTACCTCCTTCACTGACAATCTGACACCTTCAGGAAGATTGCTGTGGATTATTTCCAAGAAAATCTCTGCAAATGTAGCACTCAAACCACTTATCTGGAAAAAGAAAGAAGATGCTGTAAGAGAGGATATTGGAAGTGAGGTAATTGGGTGGACACAACATGGGCTCAAATGTCAACTCCAGCAGCGCCATAGGGCTCTTGGTTGGAATAATGACGCTCACACTTGGTTTCTGGGCCCAGCTTTATAGGATTTCTCTTGCCAAGGCCTCTGGTTGTTGGGTTGGCCATGCTTTTACAAACAATAGGTATCATAACTGGACCAACAGTTCTCAAGTCCAGGATGACTTTCTGATTCAACCCATGTAGCCTAGGAACTGACTGCTGTCAGACCCTGTGCTGAGAATGCAGACCTGGGGTAGAACTGGGGCATGCAGGGATTGTGGAAAACTATAAGAGAAAAATCTACTTAATCAGGGGCAGTCACAGAAATCTTCTAGAAGAGTTAGTATCTGGGTGGAATCTTGAAGAAAAACAGGAGTAAGCTGTTTTATAGTATTTTACAGAATTTAACAGTACTGTGTGTGTGTGTGTGTGTGTGGTGGGGGGAGGGAGCGCTAGGCTGGGACCACAGAGGATTCAAAGCAGAAGAAATAATATTCAGTGAAATGTGGAAGCACAAAAACAATATCCCCCTGGTATAAAAGTAAGGCAAATGTATGAATCTGAGAGATTTTTTGGGGAAAAAGCTACAAAACTTACTAAGTGAATGGATATCAGATGGCAAAGAACAGTCAAGTTTTAGGCTCAATAGTGGGGAGGATTATAGAAAAAGAGGAACAGCAGTATTAGTTTTCTATACACAGAGTGTAGGGCACCTCTAAAAACATCCCAACAGAGACATCTAGTAGGTAACTGCATGCCAAGATTGAAGCTCAGTTAAGAGGTCAGAACTGGAGATATATAGCTGGGGGTTATCTGCTCAGTGAAGTCAGGGGAAAGAATGAGATAGCACGGAGGGAAGGTATTACATTAGCAGAGATGAATGGATCAAGTACCGAACCCTGGCAAAAGGAAGAGTAGGGCATGACAGAGAAGAACCAGGAGAAGCAAATACATTTCAAGTTTCTCCCAGAGTATCTACCTGAATTACTCGCTCATGAGTGGTAAGAATTGAGTCCACGAACATTTTGTTGCCTTGGTCCTGGAGTCGCAACACCTCCATGGTTTTCGTGGGCATAGCATAACTGGAAAGAATGAACCCGTTATTAAGGAGGGTAGTAAGCCACACCACTTCACCCAAAGTAGTCCTTGGGTACAGCCACTACTGCAGCTGCTCCTGGAATCTAAGGCTCTTCACATCCAGGAGCAAAGTAACCAGATCTTCTTAAACATTCTGTAGAGTTCTCTAAAGTCCCTGCAGTGATGTATCATGTCTAATGTCTTTCAGTACCCCCAGTCATACCTAATATAACACTCAGAATAAGACTTTGTGATTAATAAGTATTTGTTGATATTGAAGAACAGCCAATGTATAAGAATCAAGTCTGTTACAAGGTACTTGGTATGACAACTTTGAGTATTTCACCTCTTCTGGAGAACTGAAGCATGAAACCCAACGGTTCTATGAGTATTTCTCAACCTCAGCACTATCGACATTTTAAGACCAGAGGATCCTTTGCTGTGGTGGTTGGCCCATGATAACATCTTCCTAACACTTCCAACCAGATGCCAGCAGTGTCCTCCAAATGGCGACAGTCAGAATTATCTCCAGACCTTGCTGAGTGTCCCCAAGTTGAAAACTTTTAGAGTCTACGCTTATAACAATCAACTTCAGCAGAGCTATAAGATGTAGTAAAAAGAAAGCTGGACCAGGAGTAAAACCTTGGACCTCCAACACATAAGCACTCTTTAGCTAGGCAAGTCACTCCTCCTGGTCTCAGTTTATTCACAAATAAAAGGGACTAGAATCTGCACTAAACAGTCAGGTGTGGTGATGTAGGACTGATGGCTACACAAAAAATGCGGCTTTACCACTGTATATATTTTATCAGAAAGTTCATTAAGATGAAGCTAAATGGAATAATAATAATTACAATAGAATTCCTCACTTCTCATACTATGCAGTTTCATTAATAATAGCAGCAGGCCTGGTTCTCTACAGGGGGAGCTCTACAAAAGTAAATTTGGTATAATCAAAATGGATTTAGAGACATGACAGTCCATTCTGGATGTAAATGTTGGTTTTGTCACTTACAACCTATTTGACCTTGATTATTTCTTTAAGTCTTAGTTCCTCAGCTATAAAGATGATAATAATAATACCTAGTTCATAGAGTTGTAGCAATAATTAAATCAGATTACATGGGAATTTGCCTGGCATAAAATACCCACAAATGTCAGTTCCCTTGATCCTATGAACAGTAAGTAAATACTAGGTATTACAAACTCTTCCAAGCAACCACCCTAAATAATCTCCCTTTCCACTTTTTAGCACACTCTCTGATTTCTTCCAACTCAAATTTGGTCATAGCTTCCTTACATAAGAAAAAAAAAATGACATTCATTACTAGTAATGGGAGAGTATAAAGTAACTATGTTTAAGCTTCCAGAAAAGTAAAAATGAACTCTAAAATTCTATTTTTCCTTTCTGGCATTCTGCTGATAAACTAATGAAAGCTGGAGTTACCATTTCTGCTAATGAGCATTATTTTATTCTTCAACAGTTACTTTAGCAAGATTTTGTTGTTCTGTCTAGAGGGCAATATGCAGTCTATGCTTTAAAGGAATTCACCGAGAGAAAAAAGAAGTACACAGACATCTGTACTACAGTGAGACAAAGGCAATAACAGGTATGTTCTGAACATTATGGGGACAAAAGGGACAGAAGGGGACACGGTGAAGACTTCACAGGTGAGGTGGTGCTTTATTTATGAAGAGGGAAGGAATGAGCATTAGTATTTGCTTAGAGGGCATTCCAAGAAAGTATAACTATCTACAAATGCAAGGAGGCATGAGAGGCTCTCAAACTGTCTCAAAAAGTCAGACATAGTTTGATAAAGAATTGCTGGGAACTCAGGTAACTGTGAAGTAGCATAGACCTCTGAATAGTAAAAGAATATAGATAATTTTTCTTTAGTATCTATACTTTTCTGTACTGTCTAAATTTTCTGAGAAAAACAAAAACCCCAACATAATTGGATGATCAGATAGTAAAAATAAAAGGGGAAAAATGAAATAATTGACTATCAAGAGTCAACCAAAAATGAACATAACAATCACTGCCTGGGGTGGGACATAAAGGGGTCCTCTGGGATGCTGAGGAACTTAGAATCTGTGCATTTTTAATGTAAATGTATTTTTTTTAAAGATTTATTTATTTATTCATACAGAACTGGGGTACAGGCCAGAGATGCGGAGGGTGAGAGGATTCACCAGAGACAGAGTGGGGATCAGAACAGGCAGATCTACAAAGTACACCGCTGAGGGGAGCGGTGGGCGAGTCAGGAGAGGTCTGCCTGGCCATGTGGATCTCCTCAGGGGCAGGCCGGGATCGAACTCATGAGGAAGTGGCTCAAGCTTCTGAGTGCTGTGCTTTAACCCGCTGCGCCACCAGGGAGGGCCAATGTAAATGTATTTTTAAAAAATAGGTAAGTATAACCTCCCAGAGTGATTCTTTTACCCTCCACAAAGCACAGGGGCTGGGATCAGCTTCAGGCTTGGAAGCTGCTCCCAGATGAGCAAGATTCCGTCTCTCCAGGCAGTCCTCACTGAGGGATTGTGGGCAAATGAGGGGACCAGCAGGAGAGGCCTCTTCTTTCTCTGTGAGTTGCAGCGCAGCAATGCAGACCATTTATAGAACAAAAGCTAGCCCAATTCCATCTCAAGGTCAGAGCCCTACCTCCTCCTTCCCACTCCCAGGGGAAAATAGATCAAGATGAAATGAAAATCAGAAGAAAAGAAAATCATTTCATCTCTGAAAAAACTGAGCAGTGAGAATGCCTCATATGATAATCTGGAAACCTCAATCAATGCAGAGAAGAGAGTAGCTGAAAATGAGTCTCTCTTTATGCTCTGTGCTATGTGAAGCAAAGAGCGAGGAAAGACCACAAAAAAGCAGCATATCACCCATTCTCTTGTTCTAGGAATCATGTCCACGCTTATTAGAATTCATATTTATTCAGGGCTTACTATATGTCAGCAACTGGTTAGGCTGATGATGAAGACAGAAACGGTACTGGCCTTACAGAAGCAAAATTGTCCAGTAATTACAAGGATAAGGAATGGGTGTTATATAAAAAAAAGAGGCTACATATTCTTTACTTCTCCTAAATATGTTAGCATAAGAACCTAAATTAATGAGGTCATCTGAAGAAGGGGCATTCAAGTTGAAAATAAGAAAAAAGTAGGGGTGAAGAGGGAAGCATACTTTAAGCTTTAGAAAGTATATATAAGGTGGAGCAAAAAAACCAAAAAAGCAAAGACAGTAACTGGAGCAAGAGGAAGAGGGAAAAACAAGTGTGAGTTAAGACGAAAGAGGCAAGGGCCTGGCCATGCAAGTCATGTGAGGAATTTTTATTTTGAATGTAAAGGAACAGGAAGACATGGAAGGACTTTAAGCATGAGAATGACATGATTGTATTTCCATACTAGAAAAATTTTGTGGAGAACCAGATGGAGGGTGTTAAGACTTGGGGGGGTGGAGGGGTGAGTTCAAATACAGACCTTCCATTTACAGATATATGATCATAAGCAAGTTCCATTGTATTAGTAATAACAATGGAAAATAATAGCAGCTAAGAGTTGCTGGGCATAGGTGTTAAGTGCTTTAAATATATTAACTCCCCAATTTTTTCTATAGCTTTTTTAGATGGATACTTTTATTGTTATCAGATGAGGAAACCAGGATATAAACAGACTAAAAGTAAATTAACAAGTATCACACAATGAGACTGCAGCAGGGGCAGGTAAAACACAGTCTGGTGGCAAATGTGATGCTTTGATCCACTATATGTGAGTTATTTGTTAGAACTAAGTAAAAGAATATTTACCAAAAAGCAGCATATCACCCATTCTGTTGTTGATGGCTGGCTGACAGTCGTTGTTCAACCTGTCTTCCTGCCATTATGTGCAAGAAATGCAATCAGGTTTCTACAGTGGGGTTATAAAAACAGTATCTTTTAAAGTCTTTTTTTTTCTTCAGAACACTACCCAGGTGGCAAAGCATTATTTTTTAAAGATTTACTTTATTTGTGCATACAGAACTGGGGTATAGGCCAGAGATGTAGGGGCAATGAGAGGCTTCACCAGAGACAGAGTGGGGAGCAGAACAGGCAGATCTACGAAGTACACTGCTGAGGGGAGCAGCAGGCGGGTCAGAAGAGGTCTGCCGTGCAATGTGGTCCCTCCCCATGTGGTCCCTCCCAGGCAGGCCAGGATCGAACTCATGTGGAAGTGGCTTAAGCTTCTTAGTGCTGTGCTTTAACCCAGTGCACCACCAGGGAGGGCCTTAAGTCTTTTTAAACTTACAACACTATTCCAGGGACTTGATCCACAGTATGATCACATTTAATACTTCTTTGCTACTACATCTTCTGAGAAGCTTCGCCTAATCCCTCAATAATAGTGTTTACAAAGTGCTAAAATGTGCCAGTCTCTCTGTTAAGTGTTATCATATACTATTTTATTTAATTTTTGGAACTCAAACAAATAGGAATATTATCATCCCCACTTTATAGAGGAGGAAAGAGATTCAGTATTTCCCAGGTTCATATTGTAACTATGGAACTATTGGAACTAGTGAAAGCAGACAGTGTGAATCCAGAGTTTGTATTCTTTTTTTTTTTTTAAAGATTTATTTATTTATACAGAACTGAGGTACAGGCCAGAGATGCAAAGGGTGAGAGGATTCACCAGGAACAGAGTGGGGAGCAGAACAGGCAGATCGACAACGTACACTGCTGAGGGGAGCAGCAGGTGGGCTAGGAGAGGTATGCCACCTCATGTGGATCACCTCTGGGGCAGGCAGGGATCGAACTCATGCGGAAGTGGCTTAAGCTTCTTGGTGCAGTGCTTTAACCCGCTGCGCCATCAGGGAGGGCCCCAGAATTTGTATTCTTAACTGCTTGTTGCTTAAAATGTGGTCCACAGACAAGTTGCTGGTGAGCAAAAAAAAAAAAAAAAATCTAGTAGATGACAGGAAGTGTACCATAGCTACTAAACACGCTCTCCATTTCAGCCAATATTTTTCTTTCAATAGCAAGGCTTTTTTGCTTAAGAAAGCAAAGCATTACTGTACATTCTGGCGTAAGTTCCTGATATCCTCAAGCTTGGCACTTTGAGAAACATGGCTCTAATTTCCATTATACTACTCTACCTCCTTAAACTCTCTCTTTCACTTGTCACTTTCCATATTATGTACACATACATATTCCCTAAATGCAGGGTCATTCACCTCAGTTCCCTTCAGTCACCATATCTACTATACATCAAAAAGAGAACCAAAAGTTTTTTAATTAGTCAATTACAAACACTTTCATCAAATTTTAGGAAATGTACACTACACAACTGGACTGTGCAGTCATAATCAAAACCTCTCATTCTTTTAATCATAGCTTAATATTTCTCTTATGGCAGGCCTGTAGCTAGCTGCTGAAGAAATAAAGAACACAGAATACATTTAGTCAGAGGGGTTGGGAGCTGACACATGAGCAGATCACTAAGGCCTGAAGCACAAACTGGCATGACAGAAGTATGTGTCAAGTGCTGACTGAGCAACCAACACTCTGGGGCATTACAGAAAGATAAAGCACATCATTAGGTCTGAAACACTTGAAGTACTATCAGCTGTGAGAGCTACAGTCAGTTTATTACACAGTTTTCTAGAAAGCATGCTGAACACAGTTATAATCTAGTTATAAAGTTCAAGAGTTCAAATTTGGTTTAAGGATAAAATAAGGCTCTTTTTAGTTAAAAATAGCGCAGCAAGACCAAACTGGGTTAAGTCCAGACAACTTATTGATTCTGTGACTTTTGGCCTTTCTGTGACTTGGTTTCTTCACAGGTAAAATGGTTGTATATTAATAACTAATGACTAAAAAAGTTTAGTTTTGTCATAGTGCCATACCATGCTTGTATTACTTTGCTACAATGGCAAACCACTCAAACTATTATTTATTAAATATATATTTTAAATCAACTCACTTTAAAAATTAATCTTAAAAGGAAACCTGAGATGTGGAACAACTGGAATTCATATTGCTAGTGAGAAAGTAAAATGAGATGGCCACTCTGGAAAGCAGTTTGACAATTTTTTATAAATTTAAATATATACTACTCTTAACATCTGAGGCAGTGATCTCACTCTTAGAGAAATGAAAATTTATGTTCTTCTCACAAACACCTGTATGTTTATAGCATCTTTTTTCATTACTGTTCCAAACTGAAAACAACAAAAATATCCTTCAGCAAGTGAAAGGATAAACAAACTGTGGTACACTCAGTGAGATGTTCCTCAGCAATAAAAAAGAAATAAACTACGTGATATTGGCAATAATATAGATGAAGCCCAAGTACATTATCCTAACTGAAACAAGTCAGTCTCAAAAGGAAAAACACTCTACAATTCCATTTATATGACATTCTAGAAAAGACAAAAATTAAAGGGATGAAAAATAGAACATTAGCTCCCAGGGACTGGAAGTGTGGGGAGGAACAAAGTATAAACATAGGAGAGGACATCTTGGGATGAAGGAAATGTTCTCTAACTTGACTATCATAGTATTTACTTTTTGATGATAATGGTATTCGTGAAAACTCATAAAAACTAATTACTTAAAGGGTGAATTTTATTGGCTATAAATTATACCCAAATATGCTCCTATAAATAGAAAAGCTATATTAGTTGCCATAAATAGTAAGTCAAAAATAAATACAAAGATAAAAAACGTTAAGGAGGTTAGGGTGTTGCAGTCCATATACTCAGTTGTAAAAAAAAAAAAATTCTTGCTATTTGCCACAACATGAATGGAATTGGAGGGAATAATGCTAAGTAAAATAAGTCAGAAGGAGGGAGACAAATATCAGATGGTATCACTTATATATGCAATATGGATGTACAAGACAAAGGTCAGGTAAAACCAAACCAGTAACAAACCCTAGAAATCTGATGTAGAACTGAGACTATCAGAAGGCTAAGGAGGGGGAGAGAATAAAGCACTGGTGAGGGTGCACAAGGAATGGGGTGAAGATCACAGGTGCTTTGGTGGTGGGGTGGGGTGGTAACATCAGAAGGGGGAGATCCTATACCTCTAAATCACAAGCAACGTTGTAAACCAATGTTACCTTAGTAAAAACATAGAGTGAAAACAAAATGATGTTATAAAATTGTATTAGATACTAGTGCTTGCCCAGGACTCTGAACCTGAGGTCTCCTCTCTATTATAAAAATAGGAAGTGCTAGAATGTTGTTAAGGACATACTAGCACCACACCAGAATTTCTACTTGACATAATTAGGTTGAGAATTTAAAAGGTAAGAAATTTCTCACCATGTGATTTAATGTTATTTAAGGCAAACCATAGGACTTCCCACACTTTCTCAAACACTGTGATAATATATGTAAAGGCCTGGAGTAGCAGTAAATGTTAATTCTCCTCCCTTACAGTTTTCCAACAAATCCAAAGAGTAAATGAAAAGTAGAACAGGCAAAGAATATCTAAACAAGTGGGCAGACATACTATGTCAATGGATCAGCAGAAACAGAATAAACAAGAACATATGTTACAAAGTACAATCAGGCTCCTTTCTGTAGGAATTGATAAACTAATCCTTAGACTTTTATGGAAAACCTAAAGATCTACAATAGCCAAATACTGAGAAAAAAAGAAGCAGTAATGTTAATAACCAAATAATAACAATTAAGATTATGTAGTACTGGTGTAGCAGAATTATACAGATCAATGTACCAAAATAGAGTTGAAAACAGATTACATACATATGGTCAATTGAGTTTCAACAAAGGTACTACAACAATTCAATGGAGAAAGAAAATCTTTTCAAATAAATGGGGCTGGAATACTAAATATGTATAGGCAAAATAATAATAACATTGACCTATATTTCATATCACATACCAAAAAAAAACCCAAAAAACCAAACTTCAAAATGACCATAAACCTGAAAGTAAAACTTAAATTTATAGAACTTCTAGAAGAAAACATAAGTATCTTTGTGATATAAAGATTTCTTAGATATGACACAAAAAAGCATAAACAATAAAAGAAGAAATTGATAGACTGAATTTCAACAAACCAACAAATGCTTCTGTTCAAAAATACCTTGGTAAAAAGACCAAAAACTATGTCATAGACTGGGGGAAAATATTTGCAAAATACAGATTGAAAAAGAACTGGTATCCAAAAATAGATGATAAACTTTTCATAATTCCACAGTAAGATAACCCAATAACAAAAATGGGCAAAAGATTTGAATAGACATGCCATCAAAGCAAGTATGTTCTGAAAAAGTTAAAACAACAGAAAATTAATTAGTGGCTGCCAGGGACTTGAGACCAGAGAGCAGACTGACTACATATAGACACAAGAGAACTTTCTGGAGTAGCAGTAAATGTTAGTTCTCCTCCCTTACAGTTTTTTATATTTATTTTTCATTTTCTTACATTGTTCATTTTTGTTAGAACATTTGATTCCCCCCCTCAGGTATAGTACCCATAATCCTCCCACCACAGCACCTGTAGACCATCTCTACAGTTCCTGTGTTCTTCCCTCCCATTTTGACCACTTCTTTTACTCCCCCCCACCCCATGCCTCAGATCTATGGTCTGCCTTCAAGTTGGTCTCCCCACTACCACTGTTGTGCAGTTTCCCAATATTACACCTATAAGTGAAACTGTGATTGTGGCAACTATATACCTAAAAAGAATGAATTTTGCTGTATATAAGTTATGTCTCAAAACCTCATTTAATAACAGTAACAGAAAAGAAAGCATTCTACCCACACCATTAACACGAGCAAAAGCATTCTTCATACCTTTCCTCAACTTTAATGGAGAGATGGTTGCAGAGGTTGTGAACATACTGGGCATAACTCTCTGCCAAGGCCATGTCATATGCAGTCAGGTGAACATTTAGAACTCCATATTCATAATCGGTCCCCAAATTAATGGGTCTCACTTCCACTTTTCCCCTCTTCTTCTTGGGCTAAGCAGAAAACAAATAGAGAAAGAAAGTGAATCAAAGTATTATACAATAAATTCTAATAGTCCATTTTGTCAGTGAATCAGTCTTTCAAATAAATTTGTTCACCATTTTTCTCCAAGTTTACCCTACTACAAACTGACATTCTCCTGGGAAAGAATGGGCAATTTCCCTTATCAGTTTGGACTTTGACATCTGCCAATGAAATGAGAGGGGATAGCATTACTTTAACATGAACACATGTTTTAAATAGTTGAGATTATATACATAAAAGAAACAAATCACTCTGGGAAAGGTTTCTCAAGAGCACCCTTTTCAGTGGCATGTGGTAAGATTCTCAACACAGAGACGTCATATATATTTAAGGGTCAGGTTTAATAGAAAAGGGACAGAAGAGAGAAGGACGCTTGCATAGAAGCAAGCAGACAGAGCTGCTCTAAAAGGGACAGGTTTGCTGAGAGAGGCCTGCAAGGTCACGGGCAGGCCTCTGCTGAAACTGCCTCTGCTGAGGGAGGTCAGCGAAGAGAAGCCCCTGAATGGCAGAGGTCAAGGACAGGGAGGAGGCTGCTGCCCTGCAGAGAGAGAGAGAGAGAGTAGGTGGAAGGAAGCACCTGCATAGGCTCAGGGGCAGAAAGACTGCTCACATCAAAGAATCTTAATCTAGAACCCACAGAGGAATTTCAAGGGATCTGTCAACTCCAAACTCACAAGCAAAAATTTACATGTGTACACAATTTTCTGAGGAAGGAGTCCTTAGCTTTCATAAGAATCTTAAAGGAATCAATTGCAAAGTTCAGCAGTCATTCTCTTCCAACCCTCCTAACATTTACATTCTGCAATTATTTATACAGTCTTCCTCTTAAGAACTGGAGTAGAAAAAATATTTTAATCTTTCCCTTTCATATACAGGGCATATCAATATGTGAAAGCTGCTGTAAAGGTTAAAATAAGGTCTGAGAAAATAGATACTAAATATAACATAGACCAGGATTAAGAAAGCTTCTCAACTGGAAATAAACTAATTTAAAGGGCTATCAAAAGAGGGCCTTGTTGGGGCCTCCCTGTTGGCACAGAGGTTAAAGTCTCAGCACTATCAAATTATCCACCAACCACTGCGGCATGAGTTCACTTCCAGGGAGCTAACCCATGTGGAACAGCAGACCTCTCTTGTCTCAACCACTGCTCCCCTCAGCAATCTGTTTCAGTGGATCTGCTCTAGGGAGTTAGGGAGTTAGGGAAAGTTCTGGCTTGCTCCCCCAATTCTTTCTCTGGTGAATCCACTCACTTCCACCATAGTTCTTGTATGTGTAAATAAAAACAAATCTTTAAAAAAAAAAAAGAGGGACTTGTTAAATAAATGTACATTCAGGCCCTCCCTGGTGGCACAGTGGGTTAAAGCACAGCACTGAGAATCTAAAGCTGCTTCCGCATGAGTTCGATTCCTGCCTGCCCCGGAGGAGACCACATGGTGTGGCAGACCTCTCCTGACCGCCCGCTGCTCCCCTCAGCAGTGTACTTCGTCGATCTGCCTGTTGTGCTCCCCACTCTGTCTCTGGTGAAGCCTCTCACCGCCCCTCAGCCTCTGGCCTGTACCCCAGTTCTGTATGCACAAATAAATAAATCTTTAAAAAAAATGTACATTCATACAATAATACATTATGGAGCTAAAAGATGGAATAAGTAAGTACTGATAAGGAAACATCCTTAAAACAAATTAGATTATAAAAGCAAACACTAGAATGTCTTCAGAATATTGCTGTGTATATAAAAAGGGTAGGTATACCATACTTACAAAAAGAACAGATATATGTGCATTTATTTGGGTGTGGTGTGCAGTTGTTACGTAGTTAATTATTTGCTTATATATAAAAAAAAATCTCAGAAAGAATGCACAAAAACACTATGGCTGCCTATAAGGGAACTGGGTGACTGGGAGCATAGCACTGGCAGAAACTTTTAAACTATTTTCCTCCTATATTTTTTCATTTTTTAAAAAAGATTATTTATTCATACAAAACTGGGGTACAGGCTAGAGGCGCAGAGATGGTAAGAGGGTTCACCAGAGACAAAGTGGGGAGCAGAACAGGAAGACTGAAAGGTACACTGCTGAGGAGAGCAGCCTCAAGGCAGGAGAGGTCTGCTGCGCCATGTGGATCACCTCTGGGGTGGGGATCAAACTGGCACTGAAGCAGCTGCAGCTCTCTTGCAGTGCTGCTCTTTAACCTGCTGGGCCATCTGGGAGGGATCCCTTCTATATTTTTTCAACTTTTAATGTGACCCTTTTGTCAGTTCAAAATTAGAATTTTTAAATCTATGTTTTTGCTTAAAAATATAGCAAAAATATTCATGTCGAAAGATAAGTATACACCTCAATGAATATTCAAATGAAAATGCCTCTATAATCACTGTAGTAGAACATGAAACAGAATACTAGCTGCATTCCAAAAGTCTCCTCCCCTCCAAGTTGGTAATGACTATTCTGACTTCTAATACCATAGGATTATTTTGCCTGTTTTCAAAATTTGTGGAAATGAAGCAATACACTCTGTTCTATTTGTGGGTGACTTCTTTCATTTATTATATTTGTAAGATTCATCACGTATTAGGTGAAACAACAGCTCTTCAAATTACTCTAGAAAATGCTACAATTTATTCTTTTTACTGTAGATGGAAATTTGAGTTGAGTGTGGAGCCTTTATGTAGTAATACTGCTACCAAATCTCATGTATGTATCTTTCAGAAAATATGTGTATAGATTTCTGCTGGGTAGCCTATAACCTGAAGAACCGAGTTATAGAGTCAGTAGTATAGGGAATTTTTCCTTTTTTAAAATTTGTTTTAAAGATTTATTTACTTATTCATACAGAACTGGGGTACAGGCCAGAGGTGCAGACGCAACGAGAGGAATCACCAGAGACAGAGTGGGGAGCAGAGCACAGATGAAATACACTGCTGACTGGAGCTGCTGGCGGGTCAGGAGAGGGCTGCCTCACCACGTGAGTCACCTCCCTGGCAGGGGATTGAACCCTTGGTGAAAAGGCTGCAGCCAGCTTCCCAGCACTGTGCTTTAACCCATTGCGACTACGGGGAGGTCCCTCTCTTCTCATTTTTTTATTGGGTTGCCTGCCTTACTCTTACTGATTTGGAGCAGTTATTACCATATTCTACATAAGATTTTTGTTAAATGTACACATTGCAAATATCTTCCCCCTCTGTGTAGCTTTCCTTTTCACTTTTTAATAGTGTATTTTTATGAGCAGGAGTTCTTTTTTATAGTTGTGTTTATTTTGAAATCATATTTATTGAAGTAACAATCTACAATACAGAATGTTTTAGGGGTATAGGTTCACACCTCTTCAAATGTATGGTATCACCATAAATCAGTATTCCCTCCACCAGAACCTTAATAATTCTCCAAAATAGTCCATTGGGCCCCCCTCTTTTTCATCCCCCATACTTTCTGGTAGCCTTAGTTGTCAGATTTCAAGCATTTGTTTTGGTTTGGTTTTATCTATTTCTTTGCCTTGTTTTTTTTTTTTTTTTTATATTCATCTGTTATCTGTCTTTCTCCTCTGACTTAATTTGCTTAGCACAGTAACTTCTAGTTCCCTTCATGGATCACAAGTAACTGTATTTCATTTTTATATTTAATAGCTAAGGAGTATCCCATTCTGTGATATATACCAACTACTCATCTATCACTGGACATTTAGGTTACTTCCAGAGCTTACTATTGCAAATAATGCTGCAATGTGCATGAGTCCTATTGTCTTTTCAGTTAAATAGCTAGGAGGGAATGCTGGGTCACATGGTAAATGTATTTTTAATATTTTGAGACATATCCATACTGTTTTCCATACTACATTCCCACTGACAGAGTACAAAGATTTCTTCTTTCTTATACCCTCTTCAACACTTGCATTTTCTTTCATTTTTAAAGAAAAAATTTTAAAAATGTTATTTATTTTCGCAGAGATCTGGGGGGCAGGCCAGAGGTGCAGGTATGAGAGGATTTACCAGAGACAGAGTTAGGAGCAGCACATGGAGGTCTACTGAAATACACTGCTAAGGGGAAGCAGCAAGCTAAATAAGAGAGGTCTGCTGCAGCATATGGGTTAGGGGTGATAGTGCTGAGAGACATAACCCCTAGAACACCATGGCAGTCCCAACACTTGCAGTTTCTGATCTTTTTTAATAAGGGCTATCCCCACAGGTCTTAGATGGTATCTCATTATGGTTCTTATTTGCATATTCCTGATAGTAAATAACAATGAGCAATTTTTCATGTGTCTGTTGGCCATCTACATGTCTTCTGAGAAATATCTATTTAGATGTTCTGTCCACTTTTTGATTGGGTTCTTTAACTTCCGTTGTTGAGTTGTATGAGTTCTTTATAGAGTATGGATATTAGCGCTTTGTCAGATGTATGATGTGCAAATATCTTCTCCCATTCAGTAGAGTATCTTTTTGCATTGACAGTTTCTTTATGTAGGAGGTTATTAATATAATGTCCTACTTTTTGGCTGTTTCCCTTGCTGTTGTAAAGACACTCCTAATGTTAGTGTCTAGGAGTGTTTCTGCCTATGTTCTCCTCTTAAGTATTTACTGGTTTCAGGTCTTGCATCTATGTCTCTCATCTATTTTGAATTATTTGTTTATGATGTGCAATAGTGATCTAGTTTCATTCTTTTGCATGTGGCTGACCAATTTTCCCAACACTTTGTGTTGAAAAGACTTTTCTTTATCCAGTGTATGTTTTAATTCTTTTGTAATAAATTAACTATGTATATAAGTGGAGGTTTGTTTCTGGGCACTCAATTCTATTCCATTTGTCTATATGCCTATTTTTACTTCACTACTGTCCTGTTTTGATTACTGTTGCTTTGAGGTATAGTTTGAAGTCAGGGAGTGTATTACCTCCTTCCTTCTTGTCAGAGTTGTTTTTGGCTATTCAGGATCTTTTATGTTTTTATACAAATATCAATAATGTTTGCACTATTGGA